AAAAAAAAAAAAAAATGTCCAAATGAGGTTCAGCACCCATAGCGCAGTGGTTACAGCGCCAACCACATGCACTGTGGCTGGCAGGTTTGAGCCCAGCCCAGGCCTGCTAAACAACAATGACAGCTGCAACAAAAAAAATAGCCGTGCGTTGTAGCAAGCCCTTGTAGTCCCAGCTACTTGGGAGGCTGAGGCAAGAGAATCACTTAAACCTAAGATTTTTAGGTTGCTGTGAGGTGTGAACCCATGGCACTCTACGGAGGGAAATATAGTGAGACTCTGTCTCCAAAAAAAAAAAAGTACAATGAATGAATACATACTTCAAAGCACTTTATTCTGAAAACAGCTACAAGACAGTAAAGATCCAGACAGTATTGAACACAATTTATACCTTTCGGGATCACTTAGTCCTTTTTTTTTCCTTTTTCTGAGACAGAGTCTCACTATGTCACCCTCGGTAGAGTGCTGTGGTGTCACAGCTCACAGCAACCTCCAACTCTTGGGCTTAAATTATTCTCCTGCCTCAGCCTCCTAAGTAGCTGGGACTGTAGGTGCTCACCACAATGCCTGGCTATTTTTTTGTTGCAGTTGTTTAGCTGGCCTGGGCCGGGTTGAAACCCACCACCCTCAGTGTATGTGGCTGGCACTATAACCACTGTGCTATGGGTGCTGAGCCAACACAGTTTATAAATGGAAAATAAAAATGTTTAGTTTTCCAAGAAAGAGGAAGAACAAGCAGTAGCCAACAAAAACTTTTACTCCATTTGAGTAGAAACCAAAAAGAGAAGAACTCCTAGGGAGTTAGATCCCTTCAGAGAGAACAGCCTCAAATTAGAAAATATTAGGAAAAAGCAGAATATTACATTATAGAAATTGATAGCCAATGTCCACTTACCACGTGACAAGGAACACATAGGTTTGCTAACCCAGAATAAGTGACTGAGGCAAAGGTCTCAACCAATAGACATTTATTAAGCCATTGTTTGCAAATGTGATCAGGAAAAATGTGGCTATTTTTCTGAAGGGGAATGTGGGAACTTCAGCATTTAAGAGGAATAAGGTATATGGAAAGAAAAAAGAATAAGGCATATTAGCAGTTAAAATTGCAGTTAACATAGTGCATTATACTTGAATAAAAGGGAGAAGTTAAAGAGAAAAAAATCAGAGACTAGTTGAGCAAAGCATTAAAAAATAAATGTAGTTGCCAACTGCAGCCAAATATACATAATTACTTGCTCTTAAGGATCCAACTTTATTTAAATATATTTTTGTAACTTTTCTTGTAAGTGCTACGGACAACATAGAGGCTCTTATTTTTACATGTAAGTTTAAGTGTAGAATAATTGATGGATGTTCTCTTATATAGTCTTCATTTCATTTTAGATTACAATTACAAAATAAGATGGAGCTCAAAGCAGATTTCTAAATTCCCACTTTTATTTTTATTGCATTATTAAAATGCTCTGGCTCAGTGCCTATGGCTCAAGTGGCTAAGGCGCCAGCCACATACACCTAAGGTGGCGGGTTCGAATCCAGCCCGGGCCC